AAAGCAGGTTATTCAGACACTTATCTTTTGCATTTTTAATTACGTCAAGTACTAATCTGAAAGGTAAACAAAGTTGGTGTTTACTATAATCACTTTATTTCTGAAATTGGTACAACTCCAATCACGCAAATGAAATGGGAAGTAGAGTTTAACACTGAAGTTATTAACTGGGACGAGGTATGGTACAATCAAGTGAAAAATATGAAACATATTACAAAAATTGCCCAGTTTAATTTTAAGCTTTTACATCGCATCCTACCTTGTAATAAAAGACTAAAAACATGGAGAGTAGTTACAAGTGATTTATGTGACAATTGTTATAAAGAGATAGAAAATGAACACCATATGTTAGTTCAATGTAAAAAAATTCAACCTGTGTGGAAAAGATTTAACGCAATTATTACTAAATGCGATTTTCCCGGTGTAGAATCAATAAACTGGTTTGACATTATTGTTGGAACTAAAAACAAAACTGTGAATGAACTTATGTCTCTATTTACATTCTCCATTTATAAAATTGGTTTACAAAGGAAAAAAGATTAAAAAAAAGAGAACTAAATGCAAATATTATTTGGAAATCTTTCAGTTTAGAAGTTAAAAACCAAATTGAAAATGAGTACGCATGTAATAGTATGAAATGGTCGAATGTAAAAGACAAAGTTATCGAGTCATTGGTTTAATGATGATGTTGTTTTTGTAGCAATTAATGTTGTAAAGTTTTGAGAACGTTATAAAAACAACTTCTCAACATTAATGTTTTATATTTCTGAATCTTAATACTTTTATAGGTATATCCTACATGTATTCAATGACATTATAATATATAATAGGAACCATAATCAATTATATTATGCAAAGTTATAATTGTTAAATTATAGAAAAAAATATCAAGCAATAATAGGTAAAAATTTATCAAAATAATAATTGTTTATAGAAATTTCATGTGATAGTGTACTTCGTGGTTGACACGTGAAGTTTTTATTATTTGTTTTTGCTTTACTTTCATGTAAATCCTGAACATAATGTTTATTGAACCTTAACAAGAGTTAGTGAAAAAAATTAAAACATTGAAAAAAGAGAGAATAAAGGTGGGCTACACCCACGAAAGACAAAAAAAAAAGTACTAATCTGATATTTTCCCCGATGTAACGACCCTTTAGAAACCCAGTTTGGTCCGAATTAATTACGCTTGGCAATGCTTCTTTCATACGTGTGGCAATTATTTTGGCTAAAATTTTGTAATCTACATTAAGCAAAGATATTGGCCGCCAATTTTTTATGTAATAGTTAGAGTGAAAACCCCAGTTTTTTGGCCAAAGTGGAAAAAATTATTTACAAAGGTTTTTTGAGTAGAAACTATCTAAGAGGGTTTCAAGAGCCACCAAAAAAAAAGTTGGAACAATTTTTCCCATTATATAAAGGTCAATCTATTTTTTAGTAACAAACACTGAAACGGTAGGGTTAGTCGGTTTTACCCACATATGACCCAAAAAACAATTGCAAGTGATTTTTCCAAGATGGCCGCCAAAATGGCGCCAAAAACTTTAAAATAGCCATAAATTAAGTACTTTTTGTCTCGGAGTTGTTTTTTTTCTTAACTGAAACCAATTCAAAATTCATCTGATAATGATTAAATAATAATTTTCAAAAATCGAATAATTCCAAAAAGTCATCCGAAAATGGCTACTATATTCATTTTCATATCCATAACCCATTAATTAGTAGTCCTATAGTGGTGATTGCAGTGTCTACATTTTCTGGGTCATAGCATTTATCAATATCTTTTAAAGTATGATTTAATAAGAGCTTAAGTAAAATATAAATAAATATCAAATTTGGAATGGTCTCTGTCTCCATACAGTGGCATGAAATTATATGAAAGAAAGATAAAGAAAGAAAAGAAAAGATAAGAAAAAAAATAAGAAAGAAAAAGGAAAGAAAAGAACGAAACATAAGAAAGAAAAGGAAAGGATATTCAAGGACCCTATGAAAGGGTGCAAGAAAAAAATAGAAAGAAAGAATGAAAGAAAGGAAAAGAAAGAACTAAAACGAGAAGAAAGAAAACGAAAGAAAAGAAAAGAAAAGTAAATATAAGAAAAAAAAGAAATGAAAAGAACGAATCATAAGAAAGAAAATGAAAGGATATTCAAGGACACTTATGAAAAGGTATAAGAATGAAATGGAAAGAATGAGAAGGAATTATAAGAAAGGAATTAATTATATGAAAGGAAGGATAAAGAAAGAAAGATAACAGAAAATATAAGAAAGAAAATGGAAAGAAAAGAAAAGAATGAAACATAAGAAAGAAAAGGAAAGGATATTCAAGAACACCTACGAAAGTTGTGAGAAAAAATAGAAAGAAAGAAAGAAAGAAAGAAAAGAAAAGAAAGAACTAAAACCAAAAGAAAGAAAATGAAAGAAAAGAAAAGTAAATATAAGAAAGAAAAAGGAATGAAAAGAACGAATTATAAGAAAGAAAAAGAAAGGTTATTCAAAGCAACCTAAGAAATGGTAAAAAGAAAGAAAAGGACAAGAAAGAATGAAAGAATCAGGATACGAAAGAAACGACAAGATAAGATAAAATGAGATATGTATGAAAAAGCATAAGAAATGAAAAGGAAAGAAAAGAAGTAATACAAGAAAAATCAAGGTTACATAGGAAACAAAGAAAAAGAAGAAAGATAAGGAAATATTTAAACTTTATTTAAACCGTTAAGACTTAGATTACTTATCAGACTATTCATTTATGTATACTTATTTTTTTTTCTTGGTTCCTAGGCCTATATCCAGCTTTTATCTACTTTGTTTATTCCATATTAAGTAGAACGTTTAGGATGCGCGTCTTATTACGCGCCTTTGTTCTTTACCGCTGATTCGATGTTCTTTTTTCGTTTCGTGTGTAAATAGCCATGTTTACACGGCAGGAGATAACCGCGATGATTGCGTTTATCCGATGATACAGGTGTTAAGTGGCCGTGTAAAACGGAGTTAGTTCCGCATAACGGGTCAATAACCGCGATGATCTACACATTTACCTCCGCATTGCAGCGGTGTTAACTGATATCAACGGTGTGATCTTATGCAAATTAGCTGCTGTTGACCTCAGAGAATTCAAAACAACCCGAATGCGTCCCGTGTGGTTTTTCAGGTCAGTACTAGACTAGTCACGTGACTTCCTGGTACAACGGATTTATGTCGTGTAGACGCACGACTGGAGATGATCGGTGTTACTTATCTGATAGCAAACCGCCGTGTAAACATGGCTAATGTTGCTTTACTTTGTATTTTTTGTCAGTTGTCCTCACACTGAGGAAGAACACAGGAGTGTTTGAAATATTTGTGATTTAATAAATTATATTGCTTCTAGTATGTTTACAACTCATGGCTGTTTTTTATTGCTGCTTTTCTATATTTTTTATTTATCGAAGCAAACGTGGAATCTTCATTTTTTAATATATATATATATATATATATTTTTTTTTTTTTTTTTGGCCTAGTCGAATGGATGAGCGGTTAAGGCAGGAGCGCGCAACCTACAGCCATAATAATATCGGCGCTCGCCTATGGTTCTGGTGGTAGAACAACGGATTGTCATGTGGACAGTTAAAATCAGATCAACCACCCAGTTGATCAGATACATTAGATCTACCTATAAACCAAATTTTAGGTTTGGTACTTAGCTAATAGCTAGATACTATATTGAAAACATATATTTCAACATCATAGGAAATCACAAAAGTTCTTAAGAGTTGGGTCATTCCATGCCAAATCAACAAATGGGTTACACCATGGGTCATAGATTTTATATTTTTTTTTTGGCACACAGACTCAGTGATATAGTGTGAACTGAAAACCTGAAATTTTGAGACTCGCCAATTTGTTCATTTTCCTGTAGCGGCAGTTTGAAGTTAAGGGGGCGTGGCCCAAAATAAATATGAATATAATATGAATTCTAGGAAGTTTCTATTCATGAATCGAACATAAATATATTCATGAAACAGAAATAGAAAGTTTCCAGAAAATAATTTACCATATATTGGCCATAAAGAAACGATATGTGATGTCCCAGTACTGTAACTTACTAATAATAAGGGCCGTCACCCACAATACAAATTCGATGAGATTATTATTAGCCAGGTTGAAGTTGCCCATTAGGAATTAAACCAGAAATAACTTTAGATCAATAAATTTGAAATTCATAGAAAAATGACAAAGATTTAGAAATTTAAAGCAAAATATTTATATAAAAGTACTGTATTATTTTTGATGATGTGTTAAAACATGTTTTTAAAGATTTGGAATCAGCAGTAAAAGGTGTCCTACACCACAAAAGGAGGGGTTGCACGATGATATTAGCATATGAAAATCAAAGTTAATTTGAGGGAAACCCCCTTTACGTCAAATTGCCGCTACGGGAAAACAAAAATTGAATTTGTGTCTCAAAACCTCAGGTTTTTCTTTACAAGAAGGCCGGAGGGTGCAAAAAATAAAAAATCTATAATCTGTAATGCATTTGTTGAGAGGCCACACCCCCTTAACCTCAAACTGCCGCTACAGGAAAACGAATGAATTGGCGAGTCTCAAAATTTCAGGTTTTTCAGTTCACATAGATATATATCATGTCACGAGTGTGCAAATTTTTTTTTTTAAAATCTATGACCCATGGTGTAATGCATTTTGAGTTGGCATAAAATGACTCAACCCTTAAAAACTTTCTGATTCTGATTGTGTTAAAATATTTGTAGATTTCAACATAGTATCTAACCATGAAGGAGCTGAGTACCAAAGCTGAAATTTGGTTTATAGGTAGATCTAATATATCTGATTAACTGGGATAAATTTAAGAAAAAATTTTAACCGTTGTTGAGAAATATAGGCGTTTTTCTCTTTTATAGATCTGGTTCCAACTTTGAATATATGCCATTCAATTTTAATTTATTTCATCAGCCTGCGCTTGCATGTGGCTAGAGACAACTACACATAGATAATATATCTGTAATATGAGGGCCATTAAACTCCAAATCAACAAGAAGCAGGATATGAAAATTATTCAGGTATATGATCCAACTTCATGTCTTGAAGATAGTGTAGTGGAGGAGTTTTACTCTGATCTAGAAATGCTTTTGACAACAGAAAAAACAACATATACTATAATTATTGGAGATTTTAATGCAAAAATTGGCAAAAATAATGTGATTGAAGAAGTAGGAAAATTTGGCATTGGAGAAAGAAATGAAAGAGGGGAGAGACTACTAGAATTTGTTGCAAGCAGAAACCTGTTTATCAGAAACACATTCTTTAAGAAGAATGATAGATACTGGACTTGGGAAAGCCCTAATGCTGCAACACACAATCTTATTGACTACGTCATTTCCAACAAGAGAAGTATTTTAATGGATGTTGCAGTAATACCAAAAGTAGACACAGGTAGCGATCACAGGTTGGTCAGAGCAAAAATCAGAATAGACAAGAAGATGGAAAGAGCTAGATGCATGAAAAGAGTAAAGAAAAAGAGCATAAACTTAGATAAACTGGAAAGTAGGAAATTAGAGTTTCATATTGCGCTTCAAAACAGATATGCAATATTGGAGGATGCAGTAGAACTGACATCGATGGATGAAGCATATGAGAAAGTTGTAAAGACAATATTAGAAGAGGCGGAAAAATTAGCAAATGGTAAACAGATTGTTACAATAGAGGAAGATGATAGAAAAGAAATCAGCGAGTTAAATGACAAAAGAAAAAAGTTGAAACCAGGTGGAATATACCGAATTGAACAAAACGATACGAAAGATAAGGAAGAGAAAGAAGAGAGTACATAGAACGAAAATGGTAAAGGAAGTATTAGAAAAAACAAAGGACCAAAGTTATTAACAAGAGGATAAAGAAAGGAAAACCTCAAATTGCAGCTATGATAACAAAAGATGGTCAGGAAGTTACAGATAAGAAAAAAATAGTAGAGGTTATTGAAGAATTTTACACTAATTTATACTGAACCAATAACCCTGACTGGAGAGGAAATATAGTATGGCAGAATAAAGGAAAAGTAGTACCACAGATTCTGAAAGAGGAAGTGGAGAGTGCATTAAATAAAATGAAGAAAGGAAAGGCGCCTGGTGAAGACCAGTTCACTTCAGACATTCTGAAACTGGGAGGAGAAGTCCCAATAGCTATATTAAAAAAGATCTTTAATAAAATAGTAGAGAATGAAGAGATACCGAGTAGTTGGAATGAGGCAAAGATAATGATATTGTTTAAGAAAGGGGATATAAGAGACATAAAAAATTACAGACCGATAAGCCTTCTATCACACGTATACAAGTTTTTACAAGAATCATCGTCACTAGAATGCAAAGAGAACTGGATGAAAACCAGTTAAGCGAACAAGCAGGATTTAGGGCAGGTTTTTCAACATCAGACCATCTACATGTCTTAAGTCAGCTTATAGAGAAGTCCAAAGAGTATAGCTTTCCCATCAGTCTATGCTTTGTGGACTATGAAAAAGCATTCGACAGCGTCAGTCAGCAAGAACTACTTCAAGTTCTTGAAAGGCAGATCACAGATAGCAGATAGCAAATACATTAACATCATTAGGACTCTGTATAAAAAAGCTTGTGCAAGAGTACACATCGATATGAACAGTTCGACAGGAATATTTAACATACTGAAGGGAGTAAGACAGGGTGATCCAATTTCACCAAAACTGTTTACTGCAGTGATGGAGAACATCTTTAGAAATCTGGATTGGGGTGCTAAGGGAATATTGGTAAACGGTGAATACCTAAACAACCTAAGATTTGCCGACGACATCCTATTACATCCTATTATTTAGTCACAATCCAGAGGAGCTTCAGATAATGCTACATCAATTACACGAAGAAAGTAAAAAAGCTGGACTAAACATCAACATCAGTAAAACCAAGGTTATGTTCAGTAAAGAGGTAGTAGCAGGTAGTACCATAACACTAGATGGAAAGACAATTGAAAATGTAGACTGTTATGTATACTTGGGCAAGAAGATAAGGATGGAGGATGACACCACTGCAGAAGTTAATAGAAGAATACAGTTAGCATGGGTAAATTTGGAAAACTTGGGTTCATATTTCGGGACAAAAATTGACCGCTTTCACTCAAGAAAAAGCTTTTTAATCAATGTATTTTACCAGTCATGGCATATTCAGCTGAAACTTGGGCAACTACGAAGAGAATGGAACAGAGATTGAAAGTGACAGAAAGAGCAATGGAACGTACAATGATGGGAATCACAAGAAGAGACAGAGTCAGAAACGAAGATGTGAGGAAGGCTACAAAAGTGAATGACATAATACAAGAAATAAAGAAGAGGAAATGGAGATGGGCAGGTCATGTAGCAAGAAGGATGGATAATAGATGGACAAGAAAAGTAATGGATTTGGTGCCAAGAAACCGAGTCAGGAGAAGAGGTAGACAGAAAAGAAGGTGGATGGATGAAATACGAGAATTCAAAGGCATTACATGGAGGAGAGGAGCACAGAACAGAGAAGAATGGCAAGTCGATGAAGAGGCTTTCCTCCTGCAGCGGAGCGAAATAGCTAGATGATAATGAGGGGTATATACCCACTCATATGGACGCAGGGTGACCTCGAATATCACAAAAAAATTGCATCGTTAAACAAGGCGGCTACTTTGAGTGCAGATAACTTCAAAAGGGAAGGGATAACAGTTAATCTAAGGCCATATTTGTGAAATATGGCAAAAAATAAGTTAGAATACCAAGTTTGACCTTGAAAGTTATTACCAATCCCGAGTTATAAGCTTCCAAAATTGAAGTAAATTGCGTTTGCACATCTTGAAGAACCACCACGCCCCTTTTTTGAGGAGTCAGTATCTCAGAAACTACATATCCTAAAAGGCTAATTCTTTTTTTGTTGGTTTTTCATACAGTGGATCATTTTTATGGAATTTCATCAAAATCTGATATGGTCATACAGGAATTTGTTTTTTTAATCTGGTTGATTAGACATGGAATGACTCTACAATAGGTCAAAGGTCAGAATGTACCATTTCCGGTCACTATTTGAATATTTTTCATTTTTCATTAAGACGAATATAAACATGAATCTCCTGAACAATTTGCAATCAATTGTGAGTCTCTGTGACCAGTAGTTACCGAGATATGACAATACAAGGTCAAAGGTCAAACTTTAAAAAATCGCATTTCCCTCCATTTTGTGATAAAAAGTTGTATTACAACAATATAGGAACATGCATTGTGAACAATTTGAGACCAAAATCAAGTCTCTCTGACCAGTGGTTATCGAGATACAAGCGTCCAAAACAACAGGCGGCCATTTTGAAAAATTCCCAAAAACGAATCTTCCCCCCCCACCCCCATATCTGGGAAGTATATAGGAGCTATATTTTATCTAAATTGGTCCATCTTGCCAAATCCATCAAGAAAAAAAGGTATCCTAAAAGTAGTCACGGATCTCATGAAAATGACTCTGCTATAAGAATTTTTTTATGTCACACCAGTAAAGTTTGTAAAATTCTACCGGCAGACCATCTGTACCCGGGGTTTTGTTATTCTCCATTGACTGAATGGCTTCTATATATACTACTTCTAATACATTCGAATTACATTTCTCTGAGAGATTTGGTTGGATTTTATCATTCTGGACTGTATTCATAAATCCAATCATACTCCAAATCACTATTATTATCACTTTCAGTATAAAGTTGTTCATAAAAAAAGTTTCTCCTCAGAAGATTTTTTTGGATCCGTTATTTCTTTACCCTCCATTTTAAGTTTTGTTATGTTCTTTTTATTGTAATTTCTTCGCTCTAAATTAAAAAAATACTTAGTGCATTTTTCACCAGATTCTATCCATCTGGAACGTGATCAAATCATAGAGCCTTTTGATTTGCGATCATAAATATCATTTATTTCTTTTTGTTTGGCCATAATTTTACTATTAATCTCAATTTCATTTGTATTTTGGTTTGTAAGTTCCTTTAATTCTGAATTAAGTTGGGTTAATTTCTGTTTCTGTTGTTTGTTAAATTCTTTTGCAAATTGAATTGACTTCCCCGTACTTTAAATTTTATCATCTCCCATGTTAAATTTGGGTTAAAATTTGCAGAATTGCATTCCGTTTCAGTCTCAGCTATGACCATTTTAATCGATTGGATATAACTTTCATTTTTTAAATACTGTACGTTCACTTTCCAGAGACCCGGTCCCCGGGCGAGGTTGGAGCTTTGAATCGACAGGGAGACAAGAGAGTGATCGCTTTTAAAGCCTGGTGATATTTCAATAGATTTTACATTAATATATGGCCGAAGGTCTTGTGATACAAGGAAATAATCAAGTCTACACCGTATTGGAAGAGAGTAATTTCATTTCCAATGTAATTGTTCCTTGTTTCCACTAATTGTGCGCCAAATGTCAACTAATTCCAGAAGTTCCATCATATTTTAAATTTTAGTTGCGCATTTAGGGTGGGTTTGGCCATTTCCGTTTAATTTATCTAAATTACAATCTAAAATTGTGTTAAAGTCTCCACCTATAACAAGAGGATATTTTGCAACCTCAATAATTTTATCTATCAGTGTAGAGAAAAAGATGTCATTGTCAATATTCGGGCCATAAATGTTTACCAATGTCAAGGGTTTCTCATTGATTACAATATTAAGGATAGTACACAACCATGATCATCCTAGTAAATATCTTCAATTTTACAAGTTAAATTTGATTTTAGAAGTATACATACACCTTTCGAATTTGACGTACCAAAGCTGTGATAGATGGAATAGCCCCATTCATTTTTCCAAGATCTCTCTACAGGTTTTGTGCAGTGCGATTCTTGAAGCAGAAAAATGGAGTAAGGCTGATCACGAAACCAACTTAAGACTGTATGTCTCTTAATGTGGTCTCGCAATCCACGAACATTGAGAGAACATATACCGTACTTATATCAGTCATAAATAATTGGATTTACACTTGTAAAATTTAGGGTTGCAAGGCATATTTGATAAAATATTAGTAAAATCAATTTGGGCAATTTCTATAAATATAAAAACATTCAAAACTGTTTTCTAAATTACATACACTGCATGTTATATTTCTTTTCAAACATCGTAATTCCACAAAATGTAATAACACAGGTCAAATATAACCTTGGGAAAAAATTAGTAGCATGAAAACAGACAATGCCTCCAAATAAAGCAAACCTTAACTTTATAGAAGTGTTGAATTTTGAAAAATATGGCATGGTAAAATAAAGAAAACCAACGATTAATAAAAGTACAAATATATACATACAACAAAAAGACATTTCAGTTTAATAAAGTTTTCTTCTAGAAGAATCCGAGGGAGAGGTGAGTAGTCGGCTCCATTCTGTATATTCAAAAGTCTGGAGTAAAAGACTTATACTTCCCAAACTCCGTGTTGTATCTTATACTTGGTGGCAAGCTATATGGAGTGAAAGCGAATTCTACATCTTCTCTGTCTTTAATGTTCTGGAGATACTTGTCTCTCCAGGGGCGGATTTAGGGGGGGGGCCGGCCCGGCCCCGTCCCCCCCTTTTGGGAGGTAAAAAAAGAAAAGAAAAAGAAAAAAAAGAGAGAAAAAGAAAAAAATGATGGCCAAGAATGCCTCAAATGTTATGTTCGGGCGTCTAGAACACAAAAATTTCGCGGGGGCATGCCCCCGGACCCCCTACGACAGTGTTGTCTCAATCGGCCCAACTTTCGGCCCCCCTTCCGGCCCCCCCTTTTGGACATTTCTGGATCCGCCCCTGCTCTCAGAAGTTGACGTGCATTTCTCGCTTTCTTCGACACA